CCTCCACAATAGATAGAAGACTTCTAGCTCTCATCCGTGCTTTACATGAACACACCTCCCTGAGGGTTAGATGTACCGGGTTGGGCCACCTGACAGATAAAATCTCTACCCACAAGGGAGTTAGGCAGGGGTGTATGTTGGCACCAGCTCTCTTCAACTTCTACATTAATGATGTTGCTGGATATCTTAATGGCACAGATCTCCATCCACCCAAATTGGCCCAGCGTCCTATCCCTATACTTTTATATGCTGACGACGCTGTTATTCTTTCTAGAACCTCAATTGGCCTGAGAAGGGCATTGAATAGATTTGCCAGTTATTGTAGTGATCAGAAATTGATTATTAACTATCAGAAGACGAAGGTGATGGCCTTTGGCAGGAGACCTAAGTTAAGAAAGTGGAGTATAAATGATCAGAATCTTGAACAGGTAACCAACTTTCGTTACCTTGGTATGGTTATCCAAGCCTCGGGCTCTAAGTTCGCTCAAAGTCAGGCAGCAGCATGTACGGGTGATAAATCCGCCCAAGGTATTCTCAAGTTCTACCGTTCTACAGGGGGCTATTTTGTGCCAGCAGCACTGAAACTCTTTAAGGCTAAAACATTAGCCCAGATGCTCTATGGGACGCTACTGGGAGCGACATCTTCTTGCTATGCCCCACTAGAGCTGGTTCAATCGAAATTCTTGAGATCAGTGCTCCAAGTCCCAAGGTGTGTTACAAATGCAATGGTACGGCTAGAGACTGGCATGATGAAAGTTGAAGCCAAGATCACCTTGCACTCTATTTTTCTTTGGTTAAAGATAAACCTAAATCCATGTGGCCTTGTGCCCTTAATCCTGACTGACGATTACCAATCTAAATGGCTGACCCATACTATTCGGAAAATTACACTACTAGGGTTTTCACCCAAAGAGCTTTTGGAAAGGGGGGATGCTCAAGCTAAGCTAGTGGTCAGGCAGAGGATTGAAGATATTGAACGCCAACTGGACGTACAGGCGACCCCTGCCTTTTTAGCGCCTTACAGTAGTAAATATATTGTTGCTCAAGCCCCTTACTTATCCATTCTGGAGTCAAATAAACTTAGGAGGGCGTATACGCTGGCTAGATGCTCTGCTTTACCTTCTGCAGTTCTCGAGGGTAAATTCAAGAAAACTCCCCGAAATGAGAGGCTATGCATGTGTGCGTCTGGGGAGATAGAATCTCAGGAACATGTCTTCCTGAGATGCCCATTATATAACGAAGCTCGCACAAAATGTATTGGTCCTCTCTTGGTTGGCTCCTCTGATCAGGATAAGATAGAGAAATTACTTTTAAATCCTGACCATACAGCGATACACCAGATAGCAAAATTCTGTTTTCTGGTTGTAAAAGCTCATCAGTCTTCAGGTAGCCACTTGGGTTAGATTCCCTCCCAAATAACTGACTTTTTAATTCTCAGTCTTTTATCTTTTTAAGACTAAATTATGTCCTTTTTACATTGTATTGTTGGTTTTAGATTTTAAAATGCTTGTATAATTTTACATAAATAGATTCACCATCTGGATATTTTAGACATTGAAATCCAGACATTGCAAAATTTTGCTCCTTGGCCGTAAAAGCTCATCAGTGTTCTGGTTGTCACTTGGGATTGGACTTTTTGATTTTAAATCTTATTGCTTTTTTTGTCATTCTATTTTACTCCTTTAAATGTATTCCATTGCAGCGTATTCTTAAGTCTGGTTTTAGTGATCAAAATGACCGCTTAATGTTCCTTAGTAACCTTCTTGTTTTTAAAGTAGTTTTACCATTTGGTTATTGTAAGTTACTTTTATGGTTTTTTATAATTGCTGGCTATGTGCTGTAACAATAAAATTCATTCATTGTGTGTCTGTGTGTTTTTTGCTCATTTCTATTTCTCTTTAATAAAAAAATTACCAGTGGAACATCTGCCTGGTTTATTTTGAGAGTTCTCTTGAGGGAAAAATACCTGTAAACTTTGGTGGAGAACCCCAGTTACCCACTCTCACTGTGTCTCCTTAAGCTAATTCCCCCAACTAATTAGGAGACTGCCTATTTGGGTAACAATGCAATAGTGCAGGCTGAATGTGCTCCTGCCCAAGGAGATCCAACAGCAGCCTGGCCACAGAGTTCTGCACCAGCTGAAGCTTCTGGATTTGGGACAAGGGCAGCCTCATGTAGAGAGCATTACAGTAGTCTAGTCTTGAGGTGTCCATCACATGGATCACTGTTGCCAAGTCATTGCATTTGAGGAAGGGAACCAACTGCCTGATCAGCCAAAGGTGGTAAAAGGCTGACTTAGCAGTGGCTGCTACTTACCGTAGGTCTCCATCATTAGGTAGGCATCCAAGAGCACTCCCAAACTCCTAACCTCTGGTGCTGGCACCAACGGCGCCCCATTGAAGGTTGGGAGTGGGATCCCTAACCCCAGACTGCCTTGACTTAGGCTCCGGACCTCCATCTTAATTGGATTCAATTTCAATCAGCTCAGTCTGAGCCAACCAGCCATGGCTTGTAGTGCTAGGTCCAGATCTTCCAAGTCTGGAGTCAGACTGGCCACCCAACAACAGATAGAACTGGGTGTCATCCGCATACTGGTGACAACCTAGCCTATGCCTCCAGGAAATCTGGGCAGGGGGGCACATATAGATGTTAAATAACATCAGGGGCACTCCGCAAACCAGTGGTTGCCTTCAGGACAGCTGTTTCCCTAGTGCCACCCTTTGTCCCCAACCCTGAAGGAAAGAGGAAAGCCATTACAAGGCAGACCCATGAATCCCATTGTCAGCGAGGTGGTGGATCAGTAGCTGATGGTCAACCGCATCGAATGCTGCCAACAGGTCTAGCAATAGCAGCACTGTCGAACTGCCCCGATCCAGATGTCTCCAGAGGTCATCCATGAGGGCGACCAGTGCCGTCTCCATCCCGTGGCCTGGGCAAAAGTCAGACTGGAAGGGATCTAATGTGGAAGTGTCATCCATAAAACTCTGCAACTGAGATGCCACCACAGTCTCAATTAGTTTGCCCAGATAGGACAAATTGGAAACCGGTTGATAGTTAGCCAATTTGGATGGATCCAGAGAATTTTGGTGGGTGGATACTACAGCCTCACCAAACTGCTCCTTACTAGACTTCAGTAATCAAGATGAATATGAATCAAGAGTACAAGTGGTAATTTTAATACTTCCAATATCCTGTTAATACCCAATGTGATCACCATAAACAGGCCAGATGGTACAGTGGACATTTGTACTGCCTGGAGCATATTATAACTAGTCTCCAACTGAAGCATATTTAAACAAAAAAAAAATTCAGCAATGTCACAATGCATGGTCACTTCCAGGAAGCTTAGGACTCTGACCTTGATATCAGGTATCAAAATGTCTTAAATAACTGAGCTGGCTGGGAACTAGCCAATGCAATGATAGCAGACAAGATGTCTTTGCTGCTGTCACCACCACCTTCCAATGGACTTTCTGTATAAGGCATCTACGTCTAGCTCATCTGTGTAGCAGGTCGAGAAAGAAGTACTTTCCTCCCTTTCTCACAATACAAGAACAGATAAAAGGAAGTACTTCTTCACCCAAAGAGTGATTAACACATGGAATTCACTGCCACAGGAGGTGGTGGCAGCTACAAGCACGGACGGCTTCAAGAGGGAATTAGATAAGCATATGGAGCATAAGTCCATCAGTGGCTATGAGCTACAAGGTATAGATAGGAACTCACAGGCTGGGGCAGGTGATGCACTGTATTCTTGGTTCTTGGGGGGGCAGCAGTGGGAGGGCTTCTAGTGTCCTGGACCCACTGCTGGACCTCCTGATGGCACCTGGTATTTTTGGCCACTGTGTGACAGAATGTTGGACTAGATGAGCCATTGGCCTGATCCACCATTGGCTTCTCTTATGTTCTTATGTTATGAGTATGAGAGTATCAAGTACAGTTTTACATTGTTCATTTATATTAGTTATTTGTTTGTAAGGTTCCCCATCCCCTACTTCCATTGCATTCCTCTGTTACACCAAGGACAAATTAGTTCTATCTAATCTGGCACCTTACAAATGCGGCCATAGCACCCACTTAACATTTTCAGGATTCTTTCAACCCAGGAGAGTCCCAGCTGCCCTGAGCATCTTATTTTTGCTAAGTCTGGGCAAAGTGAAGAATCTTGGATCATGGCCCGTTCATCATTTCTTGTTTGGTTCCAGAACCTGGTTCCAGAGCCTGTTGACCTCTGGAAAGCAACTGCTCTCTACAACTCAAAGAACTAGAAATTTGCAAAAGAAAGCAAAATGGAAACCATGTTTCTTAGATACATGTCATAAGGAGAATCATGAATACTAGCAGCTCTCAAATAAATCAGGTCTGTGAAGTTCTCATTGCTTCTGCATGTGCCATTGAGGACTAAGATATGCTGTAACAGTCACTGAATTGATGGACTTTGGACCTGTGGATGACTAAATTATATTTGTGTGTAGCTTCTTTAACAGATCAGATGAGCTATTTTGGATCACACAATCTCCAAGTAAGGCACATGTGGAATATGGACTATGTGGTTCAAAACATTGTGATGTCTAAACTGGCTTTTCTGGAACCACTCTAGACCTTCCTTTTCAGATAGCTTCTCCTGTCTTTCTGATTTAGTGCCAATATGCTTAATCTGGAACTGACAAATTCCAGCCTTCAGAGGTTATGGTATGTGCAGGTCCACAGACATTTAGGGTGAGCTTATTTTCTGAGTGCTCTGAAATGGAGCAGTTAAGCTGAGCTATGAATCAGTTTTAAGGAGCAAACAGTGAGTACACACTAAGACAGTGAGAGATGTTGGGACACAGGCCTTGAAGCCCATCATCCAAGGGCTCTCCCTGGTTCAGAAGAAGCTAGAATGATGCAGTTAGATGCAAACACACAAAGGCAGTTGATTGACAAAAAGACATACAAGTGGTTTTGTCCTCTCTTCTCCAACACATTTATTGGTCTCTTTTTCTTCTATATATTGGCCCCTAGCGATTGTCACTGCCTTCACTGTCTTCATCTGAGAAAGCAGTTGCAATGGGAAGGAAGGCACCCATGGGGTCAAGAAGAACAGGGCTACTGTTAATAGTGTCAACAGAGTGGCTGGTGATATTGCTGCTAGTAAGGGCCTGGAAGTTGTGCCCAGCGTTCTGATGGGGATAGGAACTATGGCTAGTGTCATTAGTGCCTTGAAGGGGTTGAAAGTTGTGGCCAGCGTCAACTAGTTGCTGGCCACCAGAGGAGGCATCAAAAATGACATTGTTAGTGACAGGAGAGGAAGTGATCCTTGGTCTAAATGGGAGGTTGCCGAGTGAAGGGTCATTGGAGTAGCTACTGATGTCAGCACTGAAAGGGAGGCTGCTGATGACCTTGCTCTCCTCCTTATTGAGACGGAGGCTGAGAATGACTTTGCAGGCCTGGATCTGCACCTCTTCCTCTGGGTGGATGATGAGAGCAAGCAGGCGGTCAGAAAGACGGGAATTCTCGCCAAAGATGATGCTGTGAAGGGAGAAATTGTTGTACTGCCAGTGAATTGACTGGTACTGTGGGGTCAGGCGCCTCTCATTAAGCCGCTCCACGAAGACTAGCATCTCATGAAGCAGGTTCCCAGGCAAAGAAGGATGGAAGAGGCTCAAGAATTCAGGTGGTACCTTAAGGAGAGATGTCAAATACTACCTTTAGTTCAATGTGTCTTCTTCCTTCCCCATGCCCATCTCCATCCCTATGCAGGTGGCTAAGGGTGTGGTCACAGTGTCCCTTTGATGGGGATTCGCCGCTGTTTCCTCCTGCATTTAAAGTTTCTGTTCACATGCGCCAATCCGCCTCCCGCACCGAAGCAGGCTCACTCTCGCAATACTCTCGCAATACTCTCGGGTTTTCCTGACCCCGGGAAAATCAAGTACTTTCCTGGCTCTCGTGCTTTGAATGCGCAATTTCACCTATATGGACAGCCCTCTTTCGCAATGATTGCGAATAGGGCCATCTGACCACTCTCTGTAGGTTGGGTGTGTTTTTTTGGTTTTTTTTTTAAGCTTCTGGTTTCAGCGCATGGGCATACATATGCTTAAGAAATCAATTTCTTTTTTTTAAAAAAATGTCAGTGCTTACAGCATCCTGGTAGAGGCAGGAACGAGAGGTGGGGGCTCTGGCAGCCTGGATGGGGGTGGCAAGCAGGTGGTGAGATGGCGCCTGAGCAGCACGTTAAAGCGGCCCACACCACGCGCCTTCCTGCTGGGCCTCAACCTCCTGGCCACCCAGAAGCGCCGGGAGAAGGCGCGCCAGGCCGGCGGTGACTGGGCCAATGGCAAGGATGGCCCCGTGGCCACCCAAGAGCAGCTGCTGCCGTCGCCGGATGGGGACAAGGGCGAGGGGGACAGCCAGCAGCCCGTAAGAGGGATGGCTCTTGAAGGGTGGTGTAGACATGCAAAACCAGAACAAAATATTCCTGTTTGAATTAAAGCGGGAACCAGGCGCATTTACAGTGCCGTGTAACCTAGACCTAAGTGTATCATAACACTGAAGAGCTAGTGTGGTATAGTGGGTAAAGTGTTGGACTAGGGCTGGGGAGACCTGGGTCCAAACCCTCACTTTGCCACATGAAACTCAGTTGGTAACTCTGGGCCAGTCACACTCTCCCGGCTTAATTTACTTCACAGAGGTGTTGGGAGGATAAAACTGAGGCAGGTAGAAACATGAGCTCCATAAGAACATAAGAAGAGCCCTGCTGGGTCAGACCAGTGATCTATCTAGTCCAGCATCCTGTCTTACACAGTGGCCAACCAGTTCCGCTGGAGGTCCAACAATAAGGCACGGAGGTTGAGGCCTTCCCCTGATGTTGCCTCCTGGCACTGGGATTCAGAGGTTGACTGCCTCTGAATGTGGAGGTTCCCCTCAATCACCATGGCTAGTAGCCATTGATATACTTATCCTCCATGAATCGATCTAATCCCCTTTTAAAGCTGTTTATTCCTGTAGCCATGACTACATCGGCAGCTCTTTGTGTAATCACGCTCTGTGTAAAGTAGTACTTCCTGAACCTACTGCCCATCAGTTTCACTGGATGCCCTTGAGTTCTAGTATTTTGGGAAAGGGAGAAACATTTCTCTTTTTCAACTCTCTCCATCCCATGCATCATTTTATAAACCTCTATTATGTCTTCTCTTAGTTGTCTCCTTTCTAAATGGAAAAGTCCCAGACTCTTCAGCCTTTCCTCACAGGGAAGGCACTCCAACCCCCTAATCATCTTGGTTGCCCTCCTTTGTATTTTTTCCAGCTCTGCAATGTCCTGTTTGAGATACGGGGACCAGAACTGTACACAGTATTCCAAATGAGGCTGCACCATTGTTGTGTATGCTGACCACCACTGGGAAGACAGCGAACAGCCAGAGCTTGACTCTGGAAGAACAATAGGGACTAGGCTCCTAGTCCCTCCACTGGGGAACCAATGGGCACCGTGGCGGGAGATTCAAACCCACCAACGGGGTCCAGGGGTGTGTCCCTGGAGTGTATATAGTTGGCCTGCCGGCCGTTAGTTAAGAGTCTTGTTGTGTACCAAATAAAGCGTGCTTTGCACCATGCCGGTCTTTGTCCTTCGTCCATGCGGCAAACCCACTACACAATAACCATGGATCTATACAGGGGCATTGCAATATCAGCCGTTTTATTCTCAGTCCCTTTCCTAATAATCCCTAACATAGAGTTTGCCTTTTTCACCGCTGCAGCACACTGGGTTGACACTTTCACTGAGCTATCCACTACAACCCCAAGATCATTTATCCTCTCAGTCTCAGCAAGTTCAGACCCCATTAGGCCTATACCAGTTTGGTGTTGTGGTTAACTGTGCGGACTCTAATCTGGGAGAACCGGGTTTGATTCCCCACTCCTCCACTTGCACCTGCTGATGTGACCTTGGGTCAGTCACAAGCTCTGGCACAGCTGTCCTTGAAAAAGAGCAGTTTGTGTCAGAGCTCCCTCAGCCCCAACCACCTCACAGGGTGTCTGTTGTGGGGAGGGGGAGGGAAAGGAGTTCGTAAGCCGCTCTGACACTCCAAGTGAAGGGCGGGGTATAAATCCAATCTCTTCCTCTTCTCCTTCTTATACTTGAAGTTGGGATTTTTTGTCCCAATGTGTATTATCTTACACTTACCAACACTGAACTTCATTTGCCACATTGTTGCTTGAAGGTGGGATTAATATGTGCTAGAGATAACACAGTTAACAACCCTAACCCTTGTCAAAGATGCTACAGGAAAACCAGTAGACTAAAAAAAACCAGAGGACTCCAAAGGGATCTGTCGAGGATGGGCGAGTGGGCGTCAACGTGGCAATGTGGCCAAGTGCAAAGTGATGCACATTGGAGCAAAAAAAATCCTAACTATAAATACATGATGATGGGGTCCAAACTGGCAGAGACTGACCAAGAGAGAGATCTTGGAGTCGTAGTAGATAACTCAATGAAAATCTCGAGACAGTGTGCAACTGCAATAAAAAAGGCCAATGCTATGCTGGGGATTATTAGGAAGGGAATTGAAAACAAATCAGCCGGTATCATAATACCCCTGTATAAATCAATGGTGCAACCCCATTTGGCATACTGTGTACAGTTCTGGTCACCACACCTTAAAAAGGATATTATAGCATTGGAAAAAGTGCAGAAAATGGCAACTAGAATGATAAAAGGGTTGGAACACTTTCCCTGTGAAGAAAGGTTAAAGTGTTTGGGGCTCTTTAGCTTGGAGAAACAATGGCTGAGGGGTGACATGATTGAGGTTTATAAGATTATGCATGGGATAGAGCAGCTTGATAAAGAAGTACTTTTCTCCCTTTCTCACAATACAAGAACTTGTGGGCACTCTACGAAATCGCTGAGCAGTCGGGTTAGAACAGATAAAAGGAAGTACTTCTTCACCCAAAGAGTGATTAACACTTGGAGTTCACTGCCACAGCAGGTGGCGGCGGCTACAAGCATGGACAGCTTCAAGAGGAAACTGGATAAGCATATGGAGCAGGAGTCCATCAGTGGCTATTAGCCACAAGGTATAGATAGGAACTCACAGGCTGGGGCAAGTGATGCTCTGTATTCTTGGTGCTTGAGGGGGGGGCAACAGTGGGAGGGCTTCTAGTGTCCTGGACCCACTGCTGGACCTCCTGATGGCACCTGGTATTTTTGGCCACTGTGTGACAGAGTGTTGGACTAGATGGGCCATTGGCCTGATCCAGCATTGGCTTCTCTTATGTTCTTATGTTCTTAAAGGGAACCAAGGGAACCAAGGGTAGTGCTTGTCAACTAAGAGGTTCTGCTATCCAGGTGGTAGAAACAGTAGGTTAGTTACTCTGAGGCATGTTTGGTCCAACTTACATAGCAGCAACCTTTGTAGGTGCTTTCTAAAGTTTAGGGGACCTGGCCCATATGTAAGTAGATTGTGTAGTGGTCCATATTTTCTGCTTTGTAAATCATATGATTAATTCTAAGGAGACATTCTCTTTTACAGAGAAACTGAATAATGTTTACCTGTTAAGAAACTGCAATGATTGCATGAGACTTTATAAAATAAGTGTTTCATGTTGGTAAAAATGGTTATAAAAATGTTTGTACTTGGTGAAATATTATGTGGTTAAAATGGCTATAAAAATGTTGTATTTTATAAGCATGATTGTATTCTTATAGCTTTTAGTTCCTGAGGAAGGACCTGAAGTCCGAAACACTGATCAATACCTAGGAAAAGTGTTGGACATCTATTCCAGACTTCATTGTTTCCCTCTGAGAGATTTCTATTCTGGACTTTGTTCTTTCCCTTTGGAATATTGTGGACTTTTGTATTTTCCTATGATGGATTACATGTATTGAATTACTTATTGTGTTGAAGTCTCTTTTTGTAAGCTCTTGTGTGGGTTTTTGCAGTGCACAGTTGTTATTTATTGGTTTTTCTAGAGCAGCCACAATTGCCAGAGACTGTGGATGAACAGAAGAAAGCAGCTTGGGAGGGTCAGTTTCTATCCCTGCCCTGTTTACTGTCAAATGATGAGATTCTGGTTGCTCTGAAGTCAACTGGAATCAGCCAGTGTAACATATAGCTGCAGACCCCAAGCAAAAGAAAGGGAATAGGCTTCTGTTCTAGTCAGTACTCATAGCAACCACGCATTCCCTGTTTCTGATTCAAGCACAAAGTTTTCTCACAGAGGCACAAGGGTGGCCCTTACCTGGCAATTCAAGATGTCATAGAGCAGATCGTCCTTTTGGGCCATTGTACTAAGAAGCTTGAGAACCTGCACCTGGAGACACAGATGAGAGCAATTCAGACACAGTCGGAGGAGGGCCCTAGATCATTTTGCAGGGCAAACAAACCCCAGGCTCTCCAAGTAGCGTTGCCCCCGCTCCCCAACCCCTAGTAAATGAAAGAAGAAACAAGTTGATGGCATTTATTGGATCAACTAGTCTTCAAGCTGCTGGAGAGACACATTCTTCAATAGCTTGGATGTTCAAAACAAGATAAAAAAGTGAGGCTGCAGAGCCCTGATCTAGTCAGATCTTGGAAGCTAAGCAGGATCAGCCCTGGGTAGTATATGGATGGGAGACCTCCAAGGAATGTCAGGGTCATGACGTGGAGGCAGGCAATGGCAAACCACCTCAAAATTTCTCTTTCTTAAAAAGCCCACAGCATCGCCATAAGTCAGCTGTGACTTGATGGCATTCTCCACCACAGATTCTAAGCTGATGGGGATCTTTTCCCAACTCTAGGACTGCCAACTCTTAAAACTGGTTCCTCTTAGCCAAGCCATCCCTTTAAAATCAGTTTTATCTGCAGCAACTTTCAGGTGATGTTATTTAGCTCTATGCCATGGATATCTTCAACCACAGATTTCTGCATATTAAACCTATTAACGGGACAGGACATTATTTTTCTTGGCCAGTTGGCACCCTTAACTATGGCAACGTTGATCTTGGTGGAAGGTTTGGGTTACTCAAACCCCAAAGAGTGTATTGACGCAGATACTGTTCTTCTCAGTATTACTTGCCATTCATACCTAGGAGGAGGGCTTGCAGACATGGAGCTACGGACCAACCCAAAGAGGGTTTTAAACCTTCCCAGGCTACCCTTCCAGGACCATTCATAGTACAGGTGAAGAACATACCATTCAACACTTGCTCCTGATATTTTAAAATAAATAGTTGCTTTATGTTTCTGGTTCTTTGGGACTAATGTGCTTTCAAGTTTTAATGTGGACTGCCAGAGCAGCCCTCGCTTGTCAGCACTTGGAAGCTAAGCAGGATCAGACATGAACAGAACAGAACATGGGAAACCACCAAGGAAGATCTGGGCTGCTGCATAATGCCAGGCCACAGCAAGCCACCTCTGACCCCTTGCAGCGAAAAAACCCCATGGGATCTCTGTAAGTCAGCTGTGACCTAATGACCACCCCCCCAAAAAAAAACCCACCCACAAAAAACACCAAGAAGCCAGTCTCACAATTATTCCATTCCCAGTTTCACCCAGTAGATGGTGCAAAAGGGAAGGGACTATAAATGATGCTGGTTGTAGTACAGCAAGGTCATGGCCTGAAAAGTACACAGACAGACGAGTGATTTCAGCTAATGTGAGGAACAAGACAACTTTAACCAGCTCGCAGGCCATCTTATATCCCCCGTGAAACCACAACCCAAAACACACCGCAATAGACTATTTACAGTGGCCAAGAGTTCCATAGGCTCTCGGCCGGGAACCTAGCCCTCGGAAAGGTGCGGGCTAGGATCCTCTTAGTCCATTGTTTCCTGGAGCAAAGCTTGAAGGTTTCGCTTGACTGCATGGAGCCCCAGTCAGCCACGCGGTCAGAACTGGATACATTACATGACCTGAGTCGATAATTGGGAACAAAATTTTCCTCACTTTCCTCACTTTCAGCTGAAGGCCCTGATTCTTTGCTAGAGATTGAATGACAGCTTCTCTGTTGACCAGAGTTGCTCTTGCCCAGGATGGGTTTGCTAGTGTCTGCACTGGTAGACTAAAAAGGCAACTCTCAGCTATGCTAATTCTTAGTTTTAACCAGGCCTCGGATCCTGCCCCCTGCTCCCACCAGCCATCAGTTGGGACACGGGGGACCAAAACGTTCCCCCGCTTCTCTGAGCCCCGGGGCGGTGGCCTTGGACTCGTAGGGGCAAATTCCACCTCTTGTGTGTGATGCCGCTCAGACATCACACGCCAGATGCCCGCATGGGGGCGGGCGGGGCAAAACGTTCCCTTGCCTCCTTGAGCCCCGGGGTGGTGGCCTTGGACTCGTAGGGGCAAATTCCACCTCTTGTGTGTGATGCCGCTCAGACATCACACGCCAGATGCCCGCATGGGGGCGGGCGGGGCAAAACGTTCCCTTGCCTCCTTGAGCCCCGGGGTGGTGGCCTTGGACTCGTAGGGGCAAATTCCACATCTCGTGTGTGATGTCTGAGCGGCGTTGCCACTCCAACATCACATGCAAAAGGTCACTCTGGCTCCCCAGCTCTCGATAGGAGCTCTTTAAAAAGTTATGGCTACCGCTGGTGTTCTCAGTGGCAGCTGCGATTTTTTCCCACCATAGAGAACAATGGAGGGGATGGTGGCAACCTGTTTGGGGGCCTGTAGAATTGGACCCCCTGGTTCAATGTTCCTGAAACATGGCAGGTATCTTGGGGAGAGGCTCCAGCAG